GCAGACAGCAGCAGCAGTATCAGCAGTTCTGTGTGGGTGCGTGTACCACTACTGATTGTGGTTACACTGGCCTGTAGTCTTGTGTGCTGATTGTAATGGTGGTGTGGTGTGACTCAGGTCATCCTTTGTTTTCTTTTTTCTTTTTTGCATCCACACTACAGTCTAACTCATCTTTCACCTGTTGGGATCTTCTTCTTTTTTTGTTTCTTAATGTTAATGTGTGTTGTGTTTTTACTCTTTCATTATACTATAAATATTATTATTGCTGCTACTCCATTGTGTGTTCTTGGACTCTCTGTGTGCTTGCACTGTGATGATGATGAACTGTTTTTTTTGTAGTGGGAAAAAAGAAATAATAATAACAGATACATATTTATATTCATAATTGCGTTTATATACACACATAGACTTACACCCTTAGTTGGTGTATATTTCTGTGTTTACTGGGTAAATTGGGCTAATGTTTAATATCTGTATTTTTGCTTGATGAGTTTGCTGGATCGTTGTGGGTTCTCTCCTGCATTTTTGTGATGATATGCTTTGTTCAGTTAGACAAAAAATAATTATGATTCATTTATATTTTTGGTTGCATTTTAACTCAAGCATAGCCGTGGGTTTCTGCATTATGTGTTTGATGATACCTTCGTTTCTGTTATTATTTTGTTTTTGTTTCTTTTTTCTTCGCTATCCTTGGGCAGTGTGTGAGTTGTCTCTTTATAGATTTTCCTCATTGTCTCTTGTTGCATGCTTTTTCTTTTGTTTTTTGTTTTTCTTGTTTTTCTTCTTTTGTTTACATGTATTCTTTTTTTGCCGTTGTATCATCGTTTTCACTTATTTTCTGTTTTTCTTTTATTCTTGGTGCTTGGTTGAGATAACGAAAACAGGAGAATTTGTATTTTCTATGTTGATGCGACCTCTGTTGTATCTTGTGGCTCTCCTTCTCAGTCTTCACTGCGTGTTTGTGGTGGTGGCTGGTGAAACTGCAAAGGCTGCAGATGCTCTTCCTCCTGGTCAAGAACCACGACAAGCACAAGGTGCTGATGATAGTGGTCCTTGTCCTCAAGGTACTACTGACACTACGTGTAATACTGCCCGTGTTGAAACTCAACCTTCTTCTGCTGAGTGTGAGAAATCTCCTGATGAGAAAGATTGCCCTCCCAAGGATCCTACGACTGAAAAGAATTGTGGTGAAGAATCTGGTGATAGTTGTGCACCTAACACACAGAACCAGACTCTAACTAGAGGACAGACTGCTTCTCCGGCTGCTGGTTCTGGTTCTGGTTCTGGGGGCGGTAATGCTGGTGGTGGTTCTCTTGTTTCTGGTTCTTCTGAACCTAATCCTACTGTTGCTGCTCCTGCACCTCCTGCTGTTGATGAGAGTGTTAGGTCGCCTGGACGTGAAAGTGAAAATGAAAACCGAGAAAGCACCACACCAAGTGGAATTACGGCAACACAACCGGACGGTGACGCAACACAAACGCCTTCAAACACTTCAGACAACGAGAGTACGGGTGATTCTGAAAATACAAACACTGTGAGTGGCACTACATCTGAAGGGGGTGAATCAACAAGTAACCAAACTGAAGAAGTGGAAGGTAACACAGATACAACAACCACTACTACCACCACCACAACTACAACTACAACAACACTTCCTCCTGAACTCACAAACAACAAGAAGGGTGATGCAGACAGCAGCAGCAGTATGAGCAGTTCTGTGTGGGTGCGTGTACCACTACTGATTGTGGTTACACTGGCCTGTATTCTTGTGGGCTGATTGTAATGGTGGTGTGGTGTGACTCAGGTCATCCTTTGTTTTTCTTTTTTTTTGCATACATCCACACTACAGTCTAACTAATCTTCCACCTGTTGGGATTATCCTTCTTGTTTCTTAATGTTAATGTGTTTTGTGTGTGTTTTTGCTCTCTATGTGTTTATCCTATAATTATTATTATTGCTACTCCATTGTGTGTGTGTGTGTTCTTGGAGACTCTCTGTGTGTGCACCTGGGCTTGCACTGTAATAATGATGATGATGAACTGCTTTTTACAGTGGGGAAAGGAAATAATAATAACAGATGAATTTATATTTATAATTGTTTATATATACACATATATATAGAGTTATACCCATAGTTGGTGTATATTTCTGTGTTTATTGGGAAAATTGGCTAATGTTTAATATCTTTTTCTTCGCTTGATGATTTTGCTGGGCGGTTCAGCCTTTTTTGAGATATTTGTGAGTGTGGGCTTTTTGTTTTTACTTTTACTCTTACTGAGGTTATTGCGCTGTATTGTATTCTTTAACTGTTAGGTTTTTTACTTTTCACGATGTGAGTTTCCATAGTGTTAATTGATTTGTGTGTCCTAACATGTTTGATACTTCATTTTTTTTTTTTTTTGTTTTTTGATTGTTTTTCTTTCTAGATCAGTGTTTTTACGTGAAACAAACCCTTGTCTCTCTCATGATGATGATGATGGGCCGTGTGATGTGTGTGTTGGCCGTTGTGC